TGTGATTTCTCGCTTTCTGTCTCTGTCTGTCTGGTGAGCGCACGTGCCCTATAGCAAAAACCTCTTTAAAAAAAAAAGAAAAAAAGAAAAGTCTTTCTCAAGATAATCCTCTGGTGTGGTTGCTATTTTGCAATCTCTACTGATTACAGTGCTGGGCTGGAAAAGTCCAGGTTATTTTATGTTATAAATTCTTTCATATATCTTCTCTAATCCTCTCTACCAGGCAGAACAATTTATGGTGCCAGGCCATCTTCCTAAGAGCTTCTGTTGGCTTACTTGAGATCCACCTTAGTTTCATAGTTTTCAGATTAATCTTCAGATATGACATTCCAGTCAAAACCCTGTCCAATAATGAGTATTTCCAATTTCTGATTCAATGCAACAATCATTACTGAACTTATACAAATAACCCTTCTGTCACAAAATAAGAATACTTCCAAATATTTTCCAATTCCAGAGGGGTCAGGAAGGAAGAAAAGTTTACATTTCCATTTAAAGAAACAAACAAGAAAAATATTTTAACAAGTTGCAGAACCTATCAACAACTCAGAAGAAAGTAAAATGCTTAAATTGGGAAAACAAAGCATAGTAAAAACAAATCAGTAATGTTTTACTCAAAAGTCATAAAATTCTCTTTCACCAGTTCAGTCTTATGTTTAAACTCTCTTCTGTTGAATATGCAGTGTTACTGTGGTCCAATCTTTCCATTTAAATCCTGGAAGGTAACATTCAATGTTATTATTGATATTTCTTGTCACTAGCATTAAATTGGTCATATTTTCTCGGTTGCCTTTTGTTCTCCTATTTCTTTTCTCTCTTTCTTTTTTTTTTTGGGGGGGGGAGAGGTTTTTGGTATAAGGCATGTGTGCTTGCCAGAAAGACAGAGAGACAGAAAATGAGAAATCACCCTCCAGGAGGCATGGCCAAGTAGCAATCCCTTCTCCTCCATTCTCTCGGAATTTTGGGCATGCACGCACACACGCCCGTCATGAGTTTAAGCCACTGGGTCCAGGACTCAAGCTGCTGTCGACTACATGGGAGTACAACAACATAGCCATTATGTCAACTCCTGGTCCCTACTCTCTTATTTCTTTATGTGTCTTTAGTTTTCCTGGTAGAGCACTCCTTTCAGAACTTCTTGAAGAGTGGGTCTGCTATTGGTGAATTCTTTCAGGTCTTGTTTATCTGAGAATATTTTTATCCTTCTTTCCATATGAAAGATAATCTTGCTGGGTATAGTATTCTTGGTTGAAACTATTTTTCACTTAACACTTTGAATATATTTTCCCATTTTTTTCCTTGCTTGCATTGTTTCTAGTGAGAGGTCAGAGGTTACCCTGATTGGATAAACTTTATAAGTAACCTGACATTTCTCTCTTGCCAATTTTAGTATCTTGTCTTTGTCTGTAGATTTGGCCAGCCTGGTTCTGATGTGCCTTGGAGATCTTGGGTTGATTCTATTAGGGGTCCTTTGTATTTCTTGGATCTGGATATTTGAATGCCTGTCTAGATTTGGAAAGTTTTCTTCCAGGATTTCATGCAATAGATTATCAATGCCCTTATTAGTTTCCTCACCTTCTGGGATACCAGTTATCTGGATGTTGGGACACTTAATGCTGTCTAGTATTTCTTGTATAGTATTCTGTAGGAGTAAAGAGTCAATGAGTTCCAGGAGGTGTTGAAGTTCTTCCATGATCTGAAAGAGGAAATGCAAACCATAAAAAATAATCAAATGAGCTATTAGAAATGAAGGCTGCCATTTAGGAAATCAACACCTCCCTCGAAAGTATTAAAAGCAGATTAGCTCATGCAGAAAATAGAATCTCAGATGTTGAAGGCAAAACCTCTGATCTAGAAAAAAAAAATTAAAATAACCCAAAAATTGAGAATTTTTGCTATTTATTTATTTGGAAAATATTTATTGAACATCTATTACTTTTCAGACACTGTTTCAGGAGTGAGAAACATTGTAAAAACAGTAAAATGTCCACTCTGTGGACATTGTATTTTAGTGGGGAGAGATTGGGAACAGGACCATGAATAAGTGCATTTGAGGCTGGTGAGTGCTGTGTGGAAAAATAAAGCATGGAAAGGGGAAAGGGGGTGGTAGAGTGGGGGTTATTTTATGTAGGGAGGTCAGGGGAAGTCTCTGTGTAAGAGGGCTGAGGGGAAGCCTGCAGAGCCTGACAAAGGAACCAGCAAGTCCAAGGGCCCCTGCCCATTGAAGTGGGAACTTCAATGGAACATCTGACCTCTTTCAGAGAAGCAGAGGCCAGTATGGCTTGAGTGGGAGTGAAGGTAGAGTGATGGGAGATAAATTCAGAGAAAGTGACAAGATAATGAAGAATGTAGTAGGCCGGGCAATGCCCCCGCCCCCGAAGATGTCCACATCCTAGTCCCTAAGAATTGTGAATATGTTATATAACTTGTCAAAAGGGAATTGAGAGTGCTAGGTGGCTGAACCAGAGATGGATATGTATGCACGCAGGTGTGTGTGGGGATCTATATGAGGGTGTGTGGGGGGGGATATATATGAGGGTACACACGGGGATATATATGAGGGTGTGCATGGGGGAATATCAGATTATCTGGCTTAATGTAATCACGAAAGTCCCTAATACATATAAGAGGAAGTCTGAGTGACCGAGATGGAGAAGGAGAGTGACAACAGAAGTATAGGCTGGCTGATACAATTACTGAAGTAGAGAACAAGACCATTGGGAACCCAGGGAGCTTCTCAAAGCCAGAAACAGCAAGAAAACAACTCTCCCTAAGAGCCTTCAGAGGAAGGGAACCAGCAGTTAGTGTAATGGCTATGTCGCTGGACTCCCACGTAGTCAACCGCGGTTCGCGTCCTGGACCCGGTGGCTTAAAACTCACGCAGGGTGCGTGTGCGTGCATGCCCAAGATCCCAAGAGGAGAATGGAGAAGGGATTGCAGCGTGACCATCCCCTCTGGGGGGTGATTTCTCGCTTTCTGTCTCTATGTCTCTCTCTGTCTGTCTGGCGAGCGCACATGCCCTATAGCAAAAACCTCTCAAAAAAAAAAAAAAAAAAAAGAGCCTTTAGAGGAACACAGTCCTAGTAGCACCCTGATTTGAGCCCAGTGAGTCCTGGCCCAGACTTCAGCCCTCAGGACTAGAAGATGATGACTGGCGTTATGTAAAGCCACTATGTCTGTGGCCATTTGTTGCAACAGCCATAGGACACTCACAAAATGAAGGACCTTGCAGCCACTGTAAGGACTCTGGCTTTTACCCTGAAAGGGCCAGAGAGCCTCAGGATTCTGAGAATGATCCAGCAAACATTCTAGAAGGGCCAATCTGACAGTCAGGTGGAGAATGGACTGTAGTGGGCAAGGACAAAAGTGGGGGATGAGGTAAACACAGCGGCAGGAATGTAAATCAGCGAGGGTGGTGACACGACCTAGAAGAAGCAGCAGCAGTCATTCCAGTAACACTGCTTCACACAGATGAGTAATGGCAGACTGGAGGAGTTAAAGTGGTGTGTCCAAAACACAGAGATAGTCTTTCATTTATGAACCCTTCATTTTGTTTGTTTAGATTTTTGCCATAGGGCACATGCACCAGAGAGAAACTGAAATAGGGAAAGTTAGAAATCACCCCTCGGTGGGGGATGACCATGCCACAATGCCTTCTCCATTCTCCTCTCAGGATTTTGGCCACATACATGCACCAGTGTGATTTTCAAGCCACCAGGCCTGGGACTCAAACCATGCAGTTGGACCATGTGGGAATACAACACCTTAACGAACATGCCACCTGCTGGCCCCGACATTTTTGTTCTTTAGGCATAGGTTATGTTCTGGACTCTGTGCTAGATGCTGAACTACAAATTCCTGATTCCTCTTTATGAATTTATTTTAGAGATATTTTTGCTGTAGGGCACATGCCCTTGCCAGAGAGACAGAAACAGAAGGTACGAAATCACCTCCCAGGGGCATGGCCACACTGCAACCCCTTCTTTTTCATTCTCTTTTTGGGATTTTGGCCATGCACTCACATGTGCCCATCATGAGTTTTAAGTTGCCAAGTCCAGGACTTGAACCATGGTCAACTATGTGGGAGTCCAGTGATGTAACCATTACCCCATCTGATGGTATCCCTCTTTATAAATTTTTAATTAATAAAATAATTTATGATTCCTCTTTTCTGATTTTTTAATTTACAAAAGCTATAAAAACAATACCATTTAGGACAAATGTCCCCTAAAATTGCCAATAAGTATATCTAAGTAAATATAATCTTACCTAACATATATATACTACTTATTTCACTATATATGTGTGTGTGTGTGTATAATTCATTTTGTAAATATACGTGTATATACATTCACATGCCAACTGATAACTGGTATTCATTTTATAAGCAGAATGTAAACATTTTAACAAAAAAGCAGGTTAACCTTAAATGTTTTGTGTCTTCATAGTATACATTTTATTATCTGGAGCATTAGCTTTTATAGACTCTTTCATTCTGAAAAGGGCTACCCACAGTTACCTGAGCTGATTGTCCCTGTACATGCACACACGTGTGTGTGGGGATATATATGAGGGTGTATGGGATATATCTGAGTGGAATATATATATATGTGCATGTGGATAAGGATGAGGGTGTGTGCGGGGATAGAGATGAGGGTGTGCGTAGGGATACAGACGAGGGTGAATGTGTCGATATAGATGAAGGTGAGTGTGTGGATATAAAGACGGTTAGCGTGTGGATATAGATCAGGGTGTGTGTGGGGATATAGATGAGGGTGAGTGTGGAGATATAATTGAGAGTGTGTGCTGGGATAAAAATGAAGGCGAGTGTGGGGATAAAGATAAGGTGTATGTGGAGATATAGATGAGGTGAGCGTGGGGATACAGATGAGGTGAGCATGGGGACACAGACGAGGTGAGCGTGGGGATACAGACGAGGTGAGCGTGGGGATATAGAGGAGTGTGAGTGTGGGGATACAGACGAGGTGAGCGTGGGGATACAGACGAGGTGAGCGTGGGGATATAGAGGAGTGTGAGTGTGGGGATATAGAGGAGTGTGAGTGTGGGGATATAGAGGAGTGTGAGTGTGGGGATATAGATGAGGGTGAGTGTGGGGATATAGATGAGGGTGAGTGTGGGGATATAGATGAGGGTGAGTGTGGGGATATAGATGAGTGTGAGTGTGGGGATATAGATGAGGGTGAG